TAATACCATCTAACAAATTCGAAAACAGCCCAAGATCCACCAAATCAATTCGAAAAACAGAGATCAACCGAATAGAAAACCATTTGGAACCAGAGATTAACCGTAAGAGAACAATCAAATTGAATCCGCTCACCAAGCTAAGAAACAACCTTAATAATCCATTCCAGAAACAAGAAACAACCGAGATCCACCTTCTCATGGTTGGGTGTTAAAACCCTAGAGTTCCATCCTCGTCGCCGTCGGGAGCGTCGGGAGCGTTTTCAAAAAAAAAGTTTTCATTCATAATAATTTTTTTTTGAATAGGTAATATAATAAATTGACTGGTAAACTGCGGTTGAAAAACCAGTTTTAATATAATAAACTTACAGAAATATACATAACATGTCATTTATATATAGAAACCAAAAACTGTATTATCATACAAAAATAATTTTAAACAAATTATACAATAACTAACTAAAATATTTATTTTCAAAGATTTGGAACATTTTTTATATACAAAAAACTCATAAGTGTAAATATATATTTGTTCGGTTCCTATATATATATAGTATTTAAGAATATGATATGATAATATCTTATTAGAGAGATTTTGTTTTAATTTGTTGTGAATTTTTATTACTATTGTATAAGAAGTTATAATTTTTTTAAACAGCCGCAAATGTCACCGTCACAAATTATATTTGATTGTTTAATTTAAAATATAATACCCAAATTCTTCCAAAAATCTAGTTCTCTCATGCCACATCACTAGTCTGACTCCGAGTCTGAAGTAGCATATTTTTTCTCTGCTTTGTGCTCCATGTATGTGTTGAATCCTAAAATGTTTAGTAAATGGCAGAAATCTATTGAATTTCGTCACAAACTCATGTTGACATTCTACAGAAACATATTACACTGGTCCTAATGACTCTGGAGAGTAAACAATACATTTACCAAGTAGTTTACCTTCGAAAAAAGAGATGACACAGTCTACCAAGTAAGTAGATGTAATGAATTCATGATCTGCTTCAACTTCAAGTTTTTCACGTGTCTAACGATTATCGAACCATTTTACAACATGTGCACTTTTGATTATTTGCTCGGAATCCAGATAATGTGCTAGGTTCATCGATAAGATATATATTCTAAGCCTTTCAGAAGCATATTTTTAGGAAAACAAAAGAAAACATGTTGTAATTTACAAGTTTCACTATGAATGTTGATATTCTCTCATGATTTGAATGTGATGACATGCAAAACAAGTACAAAAAATGCGTAGCAGTTATTACTATACTGCCCATACCATACCTAATAATCTTCATTTGTAGCCTAAATTTAACTCATAATCTATGTGAAGTATATCGACAAATGTTCTTATTTACCGTTTTAATTATGGGTCTCCTCCTTTGTGCTTAGTTTCATAATTTATTGGGTTTTATTGTATGATATCCTTTAATTTCTTGGTGTATTTCAAACATACATGTCCAATCTCTGGTTCAAAATGTTGGTTCTTTCCATGGTAAAAGCTTCATCATCCAAGCCTAAACGTATTGAAAACCGATTGTTGCTCCTGAGTCCAATGCTCATGCCCCAATTCCTGAACATGCATGCTTCTGCGGAAACCAGTAAACAACAAGGTTGATTATTCATTCTTTAATAGTTAAAAACAATGAAATCAGAATCTTCCTATTGCTTTTGTCTCATTTGATTATTTGTTTTTCCTGTATCACTTAGGGTGGTTCCATATTTGTTGCAAACTTGTTTATGGATGCGACTATTAAGCCCCTCTATGAAACATTTGAAGGTTTTGGAGCTATTAGGAAAAATGGTATCCAATTCAGAAGTTACCGATCATTTATTATTGCAATGATCTTAATGGAAAATGTATGTGCATGGTTTTGAAACCTTAAACCCTAATTCATGTAAAAATCTATGACTTTTCAGGAGAAAAAAATTGTCTCGGGGTTGTGGCATTTGAAACTAGTGAAGCAATAAAAACTGTCTTCTTTTTATGCATTTGTTTGCCCATCAAATTCTCAACTATAACGTGATTTGAAGTTCTTTTTTTCTAATTTTAAAACGTATCACAAGGAATCTCTGATCAGAATCGGAAACCGAAGAGTATCTATAGAAAAAAAACGAGGCAAGTTTCTTAAGGCAATGACTTATCCAAGATTATAACTTTATTAAAATGTAAAAATAAAAGCCTCATATTAATTGTTGTTTTTGGATTCTGTATAAGCTAGCAACAATCAAAATGGCAGCAGAATCTCTACAATAAACAACAATGGTTACTATAGGAATGATAATGGTTACATAAACGATTGATACAAATCTTGGGGCAGTGGTGTCAATGGAGGACGAGGCTATGGTAGACGGAACAATGAGTCTGATTAAAGTGGTAAAACATACAAACAATGGTCATGGCAATAATAAAGCCAAAAACTGAAGATTTTGCTTCTTGCAAATTTTTATTATTGGTTAAAAACTTAAGGTTTTAGGCGATGATTAATCAGATTTTAGTTTTCATGGATATTTAGGGGATTTCGGTTTGGATTTTGTTTTGGGATAAATCTATAACATATTTCTTCACCCTTGATCTATATTTCTCCTGAACAAAGGAGAGAACAATATTGAATTGATTTAAGGTTCTAATGACCTACAGACTTCTTTACATGAGATAATTCCACAGCTTTGTTTTGGTCTAAGTAAAAAAATTATAGGTGTAATTATATTTAGTTTGTTTCCTATATATAGTTTTTAAGAGATTTTTGTGAATTTTTATTAGTGGTGTAGATAAAAAGTTATAATTATTTTAACCACCCGAAAACGCCACCGATGCAATTACATTTGATTGTTTAACCAAAAATATAATACCAAAATTCTCCCAAAATCTAAGTTCTCTCTTATCACATCACTAATCCAAATCCAAATCCGAGATATCATATATTTCCTCCGCTTTTTGCTCCAAGTCTTTAGTAGATCCTTAAATGTTTAGTAAGGAACATAAATTTATTTGATTCCGCCAGAAATTTATGTTGACATTCTAAAGAAACAGATTACACTAGTTTCAGTGACTTTAAAGAGTAAACAATACATTTATTAGATAGTTTGCCTTCGAAAAAACAGATGACACAGTCTACAAGTAAGTAGATGTAATAAACTCATGATCCGCCACAACTCCAAGTTTTTCACGTTAGACCATTTTGGAACCCTAAACCCTCTTATAAGTGGAGTTGAGACTTTAAATGGAGGCTGAGGAGTTTTTCCTAGAAGAAGATCTTAGGTGCAACACATTTGAAGGCCGCAATTAGATATGTTTTTCTTTTGATGAAGTATGGAGATAGCCTCCATTATGCTGGCTTGCGTCCTGGGAGGATTTGCAACAAAATTGGATCCCTATCAATCTCCTCCTCAAACATCACCATTCACCAACACAATCCATGAAATCTCATAAATACATCACTAATGATCATGACTTTTCGACGTATAAAATATTCCAACTATTATTTTTCATTGAATATTGAAAGTTTAATATATTAATTTAGATATTTATAAAAACAATTTTGACATATGTGTCCACTGGAACATGTGTTTTCATGAATTTTTTCAGTACTTTTTCTGTTGAAGTGTCATATCATCCATATCATTTTATATATTCAACTAGATATTTGGAATTATTTGAGTTGAATAAGGTTTTAGATGATTTTGGGTGAATATAAGAATTTGTCATGCAATTAAATTAAAATCATGAGATTTAGATTTTTATATATTTAACTAAGAAAATCTTTTAAACACTATAAAATCAGTAACATTGAATTCTGATCTTTACCTAAGAAAATTCTTTAAAATCTTTTAAAACATTTTGAATAACAGTGGATATTTGTTCAATCATAAGATTCTAAACATTTACAAATCTTATAACCAGTAACATTGAATTCTGATTTTTTTTTTTCGTTTTTCAAGATTTAATGATATATAATTCATCAGTTCAATACAAATTCAAATGTTTTATTGAATACAAACTACTTTAGTCAGTGTTAAGCGTTTGGAAGATTGGCGCGTGAGAGTTAAACCGCCATGCTGGACTTGTTCGTTGGCTGTATAAAACGCAGTCGTTTCAACGGTCTTCGTTGTGACATGGGCATCATTATTTTTCTAAGTTAAATAGGCTGGTTCCTTTGAATTATGTTGGTGAGCGACCGATGTGCACAATTCCAAAGATCGTGGAATGAACATTATATTAAAAAAAAAACAATTGTTGACAAAATACCAATAACAAAAGAAGCTAAACCAGTGATTAAATTTACACCAACTTAGATCTTTCCCGTTTTTAAATCGGTAAACAATAAACTTTTCTTCTTGCCAAAATTTTGAAACAATATACTTCATTGTTTAATCTATAAGAAAATTCTACCAAGAGACAACAAATAAGAGGTTGACCAGAAATAATAATAGCTATCAGTTGAATAATGGCACGATCAGAATTCAGAAATAGTTTATTGGGGTGACATTATTTGATAACAACAGTAGGTTGACCAAAAAAACATTATATAAACATAAATTTCTTGGAACTCCTGCTCCATTCAAAACCCACAGTCCAAGAAACACAAGTTCAAAGATACTACGAAAGACCAAAAATATGTGAAGATATGATGCAAATATGATTTGTGTTAGCTAGGGAAGACTTGCTCAATTCTCACTAGTATATTCCTGAAATCAAGAACTGTATTTGTGTTACAATTAGAATCTGCTAAAAGACTAATGTCTGTTAAACTCTGACAGAGTGATATTATCAAGCTCAACATTAAAGCAACAGAAAGAAAAGAAAATTTCGTTCATTCACTTAATAGTAAAGAGAAAAGGCTACCAACTTTACAAACATGGTCACATGGATTTGCGTTGGAGCTAAACGTACTACAAAATTAAGATACTATAATGACTAATCACCAAGAATTACATAGATGTCAAACCCTAGTTAATAGTTATCATCATGCCCTCAAAATCATAATGTAGAACTAGAAGACGGACCCTAAATTATCAGTGACCGGCGTTTGGTAAGTGCTCGCCGTAAAAGAATCAGTGGCTCCGAGAAGTGGATTGTAGCCAGAAACCGTCCAATCATCAGTAAATAGTGTTGAAGAAAACTTTGAATCTATCCAAGAAAGATCCCACACACCACCATTGTTGGCACAAACCCCCAAATTATTTGTGACCGCCATAAGAACCGCCGGGAAATAATCATTGGAAAACCCTAACGTGAAAGGATTAAGTAGAGAAGAATCCGTAACACTACCAACATCCCTAGAAACCTTCGAAGCAGTAGAAGATACAATGTTGGAAACAGTTTCGTGGGAGCCACGTAATACGTAACCCAACTCGTCAAATACCCCACCAAACCCTAATCTCTGATCTTCGGACGAAAACACCTTGCGGTTTGAGATGATGGTGTTGTTGTCTGAAACCCTAAGATGATCATCCTCTTCCGTTTCCTTCGACTTAGGCTTCTTCAAGTTTCGTAATATACTTATCTTGTGTTGCTTGACCCCGACTAAGTGAGAGTCAAGGTTAACGAGATGGTTCCTCAACTCGTCACCGGATAAACCCTTGAGATTAGGGAAGTCGTAGAGATCGCAGGCGTTATGCATCCTCTTGTTATCACTCAACGCATTGAACTTGGCCACGATCTGTGTTAGGGTTTGTGGGTTATGATCATGAGGCTGAGGCCAAACATGGAGATCGTTGTCGGGACCGTAACAGATGAAACCAACAGAGTTACCGCAAAGAACAGAGAGCTCTGTAGCTTTCTTCTTTAAACCAGGAAATCTCTGTTTGAAAAAGCTCTGTTTCTTCTTCCTCTGCAAATCATCATCTTCCGAGGAGGACTTGTTTGGTTTTTTATCACGAGGAGCCATCTTCAAAGAGACGAGACTGTGATCAAATCGTAAGAGAAAATCAAAGTAGAAAAGTTTCGATCGGAGTAGAAACAGAGAGTAATGTAACAACGATGGGAAGTGAAACGAGACTATGATGGTTCTGTAATATATAGGGCTTTAGGACTAAGCTTTATCTCAATCCCACAACGGTCATAATTTTGTGAAAAAACGCGTAAAAAGCGTATCTTATGTTCATGTCCAAAATCTTATTAGATCTTTTCTTTGATCGTTAAGAGTTAAGACATTTTCCATTTTTAGCTTCATTTTTTTTTTCTTTTGGTTTTTCTGTCAAACAAAACCTATTTTGTTTGGTTTTATGAATTCTAAAGGGATTATATTTGTCCTTAATTAATTTCCAAAAAATTATTTATAAATTGACGCAAGTCTTAAGAGATTTCTATTTTTCTAATTGTCTTATGATTGCTCACCGGTTAATGGGATAGATGAATTTGGTTTTCTCAATTTGTGTTTTTTGACAAAGTCAACTATTTTTATTTACACATTTGGTTTAGTACTTAATAATATTTACACATAGCCCCAAAATCAGATACGCTTAAACCCTAGTGAACAACTTTTGTATTGGTAAAAACCCTAAGAGACGATCAATCTTCCAAATTCTTCAATCCAACACTGCTTTCAGAGATCCCACAAATCTTCCACCATATTCTTCAGATTCGGATATGAGATCATGGTGATTATGCTTAGTAATAGTGAGAAGGTAAATAAGAGTTGTGACAATGGAATTTCAGGAGAGATTAGAAAGAGCGGAAGGTTACTACAACATTTTAAATTTGTTTATTTCTGATGAAGAGTAGGATCCCTCAACAAGAACAGAGTATGAGGTAAAAGTTGTCCTCCTTTCTTAGTTACTCAGATAAACGAAAAATCAAATTTGCTACTTATGCTAACTTAATTACTAAAATTGTGTCTTTTTAAAACAAATTTAGTAGAATAACACTTTTATTAGTACGATATGTTTCGACTTCCAAGGGTTTGTTTTGGGTTTGAATTCCTCCTAGTCAAAAAAGAGAAATCAAACTCTCCACAATTGGTTTGTGTTTGATCCTAGTATTCATTCACCACTATGTTTTCGGCTAATAGTTTCACTTTTATTCCTCTCTGTTGCATTTTACTTTGCTGCAAGTATTGGATTTGGTAAGGATCCTTTTTGTTCAAAATATAGTACCAATCTCTTTCTCTGCTTTTACGGGAAAAACGGTCTATTTCCCCATGAGAACTATGACATCATAACATATAGAGCTCAATCTATGACCACGATCCAGATATCCCCGAAAAAATATTTCTCAATCTATATCTCCTCGAATCAATATTTTTCATCTATTTCTCCATAAATCTGATTTAATCGGTTTACAAACTAAACCGGATAGAAAACCACTCTAACCCAACATGACTGATTTGAAAAACCCAATTGACCAAAAATTTGATCCATTCTAAAACCTGTTGAACGAGAAATTGATGTCTGCAACATCCGTACCATCAATGGCAAAATTTCTCACAAAAACAAAACTTTACTCTCCTCCATCTTGGGTTTCCCATCTTATTATGAATCATTCCCACACGTACATTCATTTCAGTTTTTCTATGTTTCAATTCTTCATTTCTTTCAGTGATCATCACCTTTCTCTTTTTCTTCTTCTACATCTTCAGCTTCCTACTCCGATACATCGGTCTTCCTAATGCCACTAGCTCTAGAAAAGGTGATAGAACCGGATTTATGATTCTTATCACAAGGTCTCATAAATTTCATGATCTCATCTCTCTATTCCTTCTAGACTATTTTTTTTTTTGCTTCTCTTCTTCCCTATGCTTACCGCTTTTTTACGAATTGGGCAGCGAATGATTTCACCGGCATGGAATTGAGTGGAAACAAAGTCTAAAAACTCGAATTGTTTATGGCGGATGATAGATACGTCGTCGTTTTGTTAAACCATCAGCAAGAGAAGTAGAGAACATCGTCTCAGATTTGGGATCTGCTTCAACTCCCGTTGTTTCATCAAATCATGTGTTGGGATGACGACGGCGAACGTCGGTGGTGGTGGCTCTGCCGTGGAATTGGATATTCATTGATCTCGATTTTGGGCTCTGGAACCTTTGAGGTTGAAGAGCACTGGCGATTGAATTTTGATTCATAATTGATAGAGAAGAAAACAATAGGTCTAAAATCAGGAAAAGATTTCAAACCTTGGAGGAAGATTGGTAAAAAACTAAAAAGAGATCCTTTGTTTCATCTCTGAGTTTGGATGACGATGATGATGAGCACGAAAAACGGGTTGAAATCGAGTTTATTAGGGAATTGGGTTGAAATCGGGTTAAGATTAGGTTTAGTCCGGTTTGCTATCTTAGTAAATTGGTTAAACAAACAATATACCGAGTAAAACCGATGGTCATGTGTAATTAGATGAGACCTATTTATTCAGGGGAGATATAAGATGAAAACTATCGATTCAGAGAAATATAGGTGGAGAAGTATTTTCTCGGGGACATCTGAATCGTAGTTATAGATTGGGCTCTATCTGTTATGATGTCATAGTTCTCGTGGGGAAAAAGACCGTTTTCCGCTTTTATGATAAAACTTGTGAAGAACATTTAAATCAGTGTTATGAATCCCACCAAGGTGGACCAACTGAATTGAATTATGAACCAAATAGTAAAATGATACGTGGCAAGTGGGACGTAGCTACAGTTGATTGCCTTTAAGACTTTCTAGCCAAAGTTGGTCGTTGGTAGACATCATCATCTTTACTAGAGATGGTCGTCTACTAAACTCTATCGCCTATTTTATTATACAGATCAGTTCAACAAGAAGCGATTTCCAGAAGGTAACTATTGTTGTTATTATTACTTTTCTTCGATCTTTTGTATTTTCCATTTCATCTTTTACAAAGATCTGTGGATTACAAAAATTGTGTATTTATTATGTAAATTTTGTGAAAAAATATCATCCGAATTATGAACTAGTGGATCCTCCTCTAGTGATTATTAAATACTACTCTCATGGTTAACAGGAGACTTATGGCTGAGACACTTTTGTATTTTGGAGTTCGGAAGCTTTGGGACCTCCTTGTCTGAGAATCTGATCGATTTAAGGGAGTTGATGAGCAACTCACTGAGCTCAAAAGTAATCTGAACTTGCTTAGGTCCTTCTTGAAAGATGCAGATGCTAAGAAACATGCAAGTGAGACGGTGAGAAATTTTGTGGAAGAGATCAAAGAAATTTCTTTTGACGCAGAGGATATAATCGAAACATTTCTTCTCAAGGAAGATCTTAGAAAAACAAGTGGCATCAAGATGCGTATGAGAAGACTTTCATGTTTTATAGTGGACCGTAAGGCAATTGCTTCAGATATTGGAGGTCTAAGTAAGAGGATCTCCAAGGTGATCCGCGATATGCAGAGTTTTGGAGTGCAACAAATGATTGTCGATGGCAAAGAATATTCACATCCTCTGCAAGAAAGACAAAGGGAGTTGCGAAAAACATTTCCTAGCAATTATTAAAACGATCTTGTGGGGTTGGAGGAGAATGTTAAGTTATTGGTTGGCTATTTGGTGGAGGAAAGTAGCAATCAAGTAATTTCTATAACTGGGATGGGTAGTATTGGTAAAACTACTCTTGCTCGACAAGTTTTTAATCATGAGATTGTAAAAAACCATTTTGATGGAGTTGCATGGGTGTGTATATCACAACAGTTTACAAGGAAATATGTGTGGCACACGATTTTGCAGAAGCTTAGTGCACAACATGATGAGTATAGAGACTCAAATATGACTGAAGACGAACTTCAGGACAAACTCTTTCGACAGTTGGAAATCAGTAATTCTTTGATTGTCCTGGATGATATTTGGAAAGAAGAAGATTGGGACATAATAAAGCCTGTGTTTCCATCAAAAACAGGTGACATCTTATTCTTAAACTTTGACTATACTTGATTACGAAAAATAGAGCTTGACAAATGCGTGTAATATTTCCTTTTGTTTAAAATATATTGTAGGATGGAAAGTACTACTTACTTCACGCAACGAGAGAGTAGCCTTACATGCAGATCCAACATGTGCCGCTTTTAAACCAAAGTGCCTAACAATTGAAAACAGTTGGATACTTTTCCGAAGGATAGCATTTCCTATAAAAGACGACACAACAAGTAAGCTTTCAAGGAGGGTATATTTTTTACGTTATTCAAAATAGAAAAAATTCTTTTACGTTTAGTTGCATCATATCTTGATTTCACAGTCCAAAAACTACATGGTTTTGTTGTGCAGAATTTAAGGTTAATGCAGAAATGGAAGAGATGGGTAAGCAGATGATCAAACATTGTGGAGGTTTACCATTGGCTGTTAAGGTGTTAGGTGGGTTGTTAGCTGCGCAATGCACATTTCATGAGTGGAAAAGGATAAATGAGAATATTAGAGCTCACATCGTTGGAGGGACTACCTTCAATGACATAAATATCAGTTCAGTTTATCATGTTCTAAATCTGAGTTTTGAAGAGCTGCCTGTTTATTTGAAGCACTGCTTTCTCTATCTTGCCCATTTTCCAGAAGATTATGCGATAGATGTGGGGAATTTGTCCTACTACTGGGGTGGAGAAGGAATACAAAGACCGAGGTATTATGATGGAGCAACCATTAGAGAGGTCGCAGATGAATACGTAAAAGAATTGGTCAAGAGAAACATGGTCATTGCTAATATAGACGCTAGAACTGCAAGATTTGAAACATGTCACTTGCATGATATGATGAGAGAAGTTTGTCTGCTTAAAGCTGAGGAAGAGAATTTTGTACATATTGTTGATAAACGCCTACCTACAAAGTCTCAATCTCCTTGTAAATCTCGCAGAATTGCAGTACACCAGCTTGATGAAACATATCATCCTAAGGGGGAGATGAATCCAAAACTTAGATCTCTCTTGTTTTTCAGCTTGGTAGAAGGTTGGATGTCATCGGATTTATTGTTTACAAGGTTACAATTGTTGAGGGCATTAGATCTCTCAAGAACTCAGTTTGAAGGAGGGAATTTACCCTCTAGCATTGGGAAGCTCATCCACTTGAGATATTTGAGTTTATACCAGGCACATGTAACTCATCTACCTTCCTCCATGTGGAACCTGAAGCAGCTTCTCTATTTAAACCTATGTGTAGATGCGAGATCTCCAATCTACATGCCCAATTTTTTGAAAGAGATGCGAGAATTGACATACCTCTCTTTTCCGTTTCTGATACATGATAAGGTAAAGATGGAACTAGGGAATCTAGTCAACCTGGAGACATTGGAGAATTTCTCAACAGAGCATGTGAGAGTCAGGGACCTCCAGAGTATGACACGACTCAGAGCCCTCTCTATCTGTATCAGAGGCGGGTGTAGCGTGAAAACTCTATCTTCATCTTTACGTGATTTGAGACACTTGGAAAATCTTACTATTTATGATTTCCATGTGCTTGCTCCCACTAAAGATGAAGAAGGATTTGTTTTAGATTCCGTTCATCTCCAACACCTAAACTTGACACTATATATGCCAAGGTTACCTGATGAGCAATATTTCCCTTCTCACCTTACAACCATATCTCTTTGTGAATGTCGTTTGGTGGAGGATCCAATGCCAATTCTAGAGAAGCTGCTTAACTTATATGATGTCAGTTTATTTAGTCAATCTTTCTGTGGGAGGAGAATGGTTTGCTCGGGCGGTGGATTTCCTCGGTTGCAGAACCTAATGATATGTGGAATAGAGGAGTGGGAAGAGTGGATAGTAGAAGAAAGCTCCATGCCACTTCTTCATTTTTTGTTTATTAGTTGTTGTCCAAAGTTTAAGGAACTTCCTGATGGTCTGAGATTTATCACTTCCTTGCAAGAGCTGAATATTGACACAAGTTTGAAGGAGAAATTTTCCAGAGGAGGAGAAGAATACTACAAAGTCCAGCACATTCCTCTTGTTCGATTTCAATAAGACTCTCCAATAATCATTCAACAAACCCATTGGAGATTCAGCTGCATAGTGCTTTGTCGGAGGATTTAGGTGAGGACATCTTCTCTTAAATAATGAACTTTAAGAATGACTTATAACAATCCTATTTATAACATTTTTACTGTTATCAGTCATAAAATGATTGATGATTAGGATTTGCTCACTTTTTGTGCTACAATTTAGAAGTATCCATGGTCACAGTATATAATTGTTAATTAATGCCACAATATAGTTATCTCCTCTGTCCGTAGCTTTTAAGTGTTTGTGAGTTTTCACATGTTTGCAGCTAAAATGAATTTAGTCTTCTGTGTGGTTTCTCTCCTAAAGGCATATCGTTTTACTTATGCAGAGAAAGAAAAGTTTTGCCTCTTATGGACTTCAAAATGAGAAAATGGGAGGTTAATCTATCTCTCGAGGAGGTCCCTCTCGAGCTTCCTTAACCAGCTTTAAGCATCAGTCTTTCAAGGGAAGGAATGCAAGATAAGGTTGAAGAAACAATTTGCAGAGATGGGTAAGAGATGACATAGTGATGGAGTGATTGTTATCTTTGAAGTTGGTAGGGAAGACTTACTCAATTCTTATTAGCACATTTCTGAAACAAGAACTCTAGCTTCCAAGTTCGCTTGATCATCGTCTGTATAGCTCATAGTGTGCCTTTTGCTGTAGTTGTAGATGATCTTGGTTACTTACGAAAAACTCTCTTTTTAACTCCTTTAATTTCTTACATGCAGAGACCACAAGGTTTTAGCTTTTTGGAGCTTTGCCGTCTGCTCTGTGGATAGATTTTTTTTTTTTTTTGGTAAAATCTGTGGATAGATTTCTTACTAAGTGATTGACTTTTTGTTTTGTGTTACAATATGAATCTGAATTTTATAAAGACTAATAAACTCTGACACAATGTGATATTCTCAAGCTCAGCATTAGAGCAACAGAAAGAAAACAAAATTTCATTACATTCTCTATAATCAATAATAAAAAAGAGAGAGAAAGCTACCAACTTTACAAACATGGATTTGCGTTGGAGCAAGAAATACATGTCAAGATACGAATCATACGATAATAATCGATCACTGAGAATATAAGTTGAATTACATTGCTCAGTAGTTATCAGTGCCCTCATAATCTAGAACTAGAAGACAGAGCCTAAATTATCTGTGACCGGCGTTTCGTAAGTAAAAGAATCAGTAGCTGCCAAAAGTGGATTGTAGCCAGAAACAGTCCAATCATCAGTAAAGAGTGTTGACGAAAAATCAAAATCTAGCCAAGAAGGATCCCAAACACCATTGTTGGCACAGACCTCCCAATTATCTGTGACCGCCATTGAATCCGCCAGGAAATAATCATGGCCGGAAAACCCTAATGTGAATGGATCAAGAAGAGAAGAATCTGAAACACAAACATCCCTGGAAACTTTATTGGAAGCAGTAGAAGATACAATGTTGGACACTGTTTCTTGGGAGCCACGGAAGACGTATCCCAACTCGTCACCAAACCCTAGTCCATCTTCCAACGAAGCCACCTTGCAGTTTGAGATGGTGGCGTTGTTTGAAACCTTAACATGATCATCTTCCGTCTCCTTTTCCTTGGGCTTCTTCAAATTTCGTTTCATTATACTTATCTTGTGTTGCTTGACTCCAACTAAGTGAGAGTCAAGGTTAACGAGATGGTTCCTCAACTGGTCTCCGGACAAACCCTTGAGATTAGGGAAGTCGTAGAGATCGCAGGCGTGATGCTTCCTCTTGTGATCACTCAACGCATTGAACTTGGCCACGATTTGTGTTAGGGTTTGTGGGTTATGATCTTGAGGTTGAGGCCAAACATGGAGATCGTTGTCGGGACCGTAACAGATGAAACCAACAGAGTTACCGCAGAGAACAGAAAGCTCTGTTGCTTTCTTCTTAAAACCAGGAAATCTCTGTTTGAAAAAATTCTGTTTCTTCTTCCTCTGCAAATCATCATCATCGCAGGACTTGTTAGGTTTCTTATCACGAGGAGCCATCTTGAAAAGAGAGAGAAGGCAAAACTCGAATGATCGTAAGAGAGAAACAAAAAGCAGAAAAGTTTCAATCGTAATGTAGTTGATGAATTGTGCAAAAGAGAGGGCACTGGTTCTGTAATATATAGAGATTAGAGAGAATCACTAAGATGATGCTTTCTCTCAATCCCACAACGGTCATAAATTTTGTGAAAATGTGTACAAAATCTAATTAGATCTTCTCTTAGATCGGTAGTAGTGACAGTGTTGCAAATTTTCCTTTTTGTTAGCTCCAACCCATTTTTCATTTATTAGTTATACGATTATATTTTCCTTAATTTCCAAAAAAAAAATCATATGTATAGTTTGTTTTTTCTTCTAATTTTCTTAAAAATATTTTTACAGATCGATGCAGTCTTAAATGATTTCTATTTTCTATACTTTTTTGATGATTTACTCATCGGTTTATGGGATAGAGGAAATCGGTTATCTCGATTGTGTTAATTTGGCAAAGTCAACTAGTCTTAAAAGATAGATCGTCACAAACTAAACATCGAACGATGCAAAAATATGAACCAGTTCTGCTTTTGCTATCTATGTGCTCCAAAATCTGCCAAGTTTATAAAAAGGATTGCTATAGCGAGTCAGAGGCCCATAACCTCTCTCGATCAAGGGTCCGACATATATGATCTATCCCGAGGGATTTGACATCCCTCCCAAGCGAGTACCAAACTAGAGGTCATAGATAGGAAACGTAACATATGGAGAGTACTAGGAAGCACCACTAGCCCAAGACGTACCATTTTGATTGGGTTTGGGCCTGCAAAAGACATACTTAGTCGGATTATATGAAGAGTACCAGACATGAGCTTGGAAGAGTTTTGGTTGGTTATCAAAAGGATCCATAACCTCAAACGTGATGAGAAACGTGTACCCATTACACACATACATATTGGCTTTGACAACCTTGACAAATTCATACTTTGTACACTCCACTTCATTGTAGCCGTCAAGTGATTTCTCAGACAGCCTACTAAGTAAATCCCCAGTGGTTTCTGCTCCTCAACGAAACGGTTTGCATTGAGATCAACCGGGTAGTAATTGAATAGGCACCGAAACAATGTGAAATCAATATCGAACCCCTATCACACAAAAAAAATAAAAAATTCAACTCTCATTTTCACAAACAATTTGAAATAAAAACACTGAATGATTACGTCAAAGTAACTATCAACAAATATATATATAGATAGATACCTCGCTTTCTTCGATTTGTTCTTCCATCATGTAGAGTTCTTGCTCAATTGTATACTGAGGCTCATCTTTCTCGGTTCTTGTGATGTATGGATGATCCTCGCGTTCAAATTCATTAGGTTTACACATCAAATGTGCATAAAAACGACTGATATCGCTTCTCATTAATCAAGGAACCGATGGAAAAATCCTTACTGGAAAAATGATTTCTTGTCTAGACTATATATATATTTTTTATATTTTAGAAGAAGAAACTATATATGAAAAAAATTTACTATACGTTTTTATATGTAGAAGTTCTTTTTTTTTGATTTGTTGAAACTATACTTAGAAAAAAATTACATTTAACAAAAAGAAAAATTCAAAAATCAAAAAGAAAAAAGAAAAATGTGAATGACTGAATCTAACTAATAAGATAAAAATTATAAAAAAGTGGAAACAAATCATTTTTTGGGGAAGTTAATGAGACTGATATTGGAAAACTAGCATAACTCTGATCTTTGATTCCTAAATTTTTTTTTTTTTTTTTTTGTCAACCACACATTTATTAAAAAATAACTCCATGATTGGTTGTCCAATTAGGAGGAGAACAGTTTACAAAAGTTACATCAGAAAATAATAGTCTAGATGTACGGGCTAAGTAGTCCGCCTTAACATTGCATAAACGAGAAATAAGAGAAAGCGAGAATAAGGGAAAAGAGATATTGATTCCTAAATTTTAAAATTGAAAATAAAAACAAATTTGGTCCTGGGCATGGAGGAAGGTTAATTTTTTTTTTGTCAACAACTTTTAATTAAAAACTCAAATGAGTCATTCCTGAAAATGCTGTTTAAATAGTTTAATGAATTGATTATTAAATAAATTTAACCTGATTTTATCCGTATCTGCTTATGCATACAACACATGTAATAATAAGTCACAAAAAAAAAAAAAAAACACATGTAATATTTATTTTTTCATTTTTGAATTTGCGATTGTTTTGTATAGAAATGTGTTTGACCATTTGGAACATCCTAGTGATCTAAAAGATATTTTGGTTCAGTGTCTGGACTATTAAAATCATTGCTGGTAAACCAATTTTCTCAATTCGATGTTATTAATTATGGAGCTAATAAAATATAAAATATCCAATAAAATAATTAAATTATGATAATTCATGGACCTAACCATTGAACCATTCAAATTACATGATACATTAAGCTATTTAAATACAACCATTAAACCAAGAGTATCTGATCCACAGTTTTCTTCTTCCCTCAGGATATTATAGCAAACTGTTGCAAGTCATTGGAAATTCCTGCCACTGTTTTGTTAGACAAAATTTCAAAGGCCTCTTTCAATGCCTACAATGCATTAAAAGAAATTATGTTCATATATATATATATATATATATATATATATTATATATTATAATATGTGAAAAATAAAAGAAACAAGTGAACACACTCAGACCTTATTGAAGAGGGAGTGGTTCTCAAAACACTCAGTGACAAAGACCATGAATTTATCATGTAGTTCAATTAGTAGCTGCTTATTAGCTGCGTCGTCAGCTTGTTTCATAAGGGTATATCCCTCTGTAGTAATATGCTGTATACACATTTTCAGTTAAAATTAAACCAAATGTCATGTAGCAATTAAAAAATAAAAATTGGAAACAAAAAGAAAGTGAGTTTAAAATAAATAAAAATAAACCTGCTTGAATAAGTCTGCAACATGTTCCAAGCTTTGAGGGATTGGACAATAAAGCATGTACATCCTAGAGAGATCATCCATCTGAAAAGTATATATGTATATATAGCAATGCCCCGTCAAAAAGACAATTTTAGTTGATTATTTGTTTACGAATTTGATAAAGATGTGAGTAATATATAGGAGGGGAATTAAACAAGCTAACAAAACTTTAGGGTACAACATTCCCGAAACTAGCTTATGAGTTTGGTTTGGCTGCCCTTAGGTCGTCTACCTTTTTATCCCTTAGCAATGCACAACAGCCTGAGGACTCATTTTCTAGAAGCTGTTTTGCAACCACGACCAACAATTCATTTTGTACTTTCTACATTCACAAATAAACAAACAAGCCAATAAACTTTAGTATATAACTAAGTTTAAACGCAAAAAAACTTCCCTCGTAAAAATATGATTAATTCCAAATAAATGAATAATTCTATCATTACAAACCTCAACCAGTTTGGGTTCGGTGCTTGAATGAAGGTAGTGAGTGACTCTCTCCCTCTCTCGTTTTAGACACTCCTCAGACTGAATACAATAGAAAATTATAAACGTTAATATATATTTACTTTCCTGAATAGAATGAAAACATAGTCGGAGACATGCCTTTAGCATGTAAGCAGGACAAGAATCCCCCTTGATCCACTTTGACGCCTTGCGAGAATAGTATGAGGCAGTATCTTGAAGCATGAAGCTTTCAAAATCCTCTTCATATTTTTTCATAGTTCCCAGCCCATTCTCTACATAGACATCTAATACATTTTTCACTAGTTCCCTATCAATCTGTTCGCCCTCACGTTCTTTATGAAACTGGAAATACAAATATTTTTAGAAAAAAAGAATCATGCAGAACCAAGAATTTTTTTTCAATACATATACCAATCCTTACAAGTGCAATTACAGCTTCTGTGGCCGTGGACTGCATCTCACGATAAACCTGATGTACATAATTACTTAGACCATTACAAAATACTTTTGAGGCAGTGGAAAATTAGAAGCTATAGGAATATGCATGACAAACCAGGTTGTTGAAACATGTCAAGCCAACTTCCCTCAGTGATTGAACTTTTCTCCGAATAACATAGTAACGGTCTATATAATTGAAGAATCTGATAAACCATCTAACCAGAACTTTATGGTTATCCCACCTCTTAACAAGCTCTCTTAGCATATATTCATCATGCTTCTCCCTTAACGACGGCAACACCTAAATAACAGATAAAAAAACAAGGAAGATTAAACTTTTTGCTTAAGTGAAAATAAAATAAAAAATGAACATGTCTTCTTCGCACTATATCCAAGAATCAAGGCCGACCGATTTTTTTATTTTTTTGTTACTCACCGTTTGTGTAACATAATCTTCAATCATTTCACGATATTTATCATAAATCTGTGCTGAGTAATCAGGTTTCTGGGTGCACATACTGTAGGCAGTCCTGTGAATCACATAAAAAATCACTGTGGTAAGTACCCGTACACAACAAACATAAAAAAACATTACATATATAAGACGACCAACGTACGTGTAAAGATTCATATATTGGTTAGATTCAAATGGTGGTTCAGGCTCTCCTTCTAGAATCCTTATCATCTTGGTAACACCTTTCTCCAAGAAGGACCATCCTTCCTCAAATTTAATCTCTGTCTGTTGGGCCATCCTTCTAAAATGTGTTTCAAGCTCTCTTGAATCAAATTCTATAACAAAGTAATAGACAGAGAAAGTAAATATATTTGTCTTTTTATAAAGTGCAGAAATCAAGATAAAGTGCAGAAATACATTAAAATTTAGCGTTTGTGAGGTAACTATCGATACTTTAGCTTCCATAATAACAACGGCAGTCTTTGAAAATGATCAAGATTAGTGTTGCAGAATCTATAGATCATAGGAGAACCACTATCTCGATTAAAATCATGTACATAAATTAACACGAAAACCTAAGACTACATGAAGATTCCGAACAGTAAGAATATGATTTCACCTAATCCGATTAGCTTATCAGAAATGAGAAGTTTGCCAGTGAAGGAGGAAAATTCCTAGAAGATATCTTATATAAGATTGTAAAGTTTAATTCTTCTGAAAGAGATATGAGAAGTTTCCCCCATTTGAAGCATTAAATTGATTTGGTGCATTAATCATTCTGAGATTTTCTTCCTTGAAAACACAATCTGTATATACATTTTTGGAGACATTTATGACATTAATTATTTAGATTTTCAAAATTAAATCAAAGATATTAACATAAACAATCATTTCCAAAATTCTTAACCTAATATATTAAACATAACTAATCATTGCCACAATTACATCCATATTCAATTCGATTTCCTTAAAAGATCTCAACAATCCCTACATTTAATCGTGGCCATTCAAACCTTAATCCGGTTTTTAATCTTCAATCTTGACTGTCGGTCATACGTAATTAATTCAGAAATCATTATAAATAATTAATTATTATTAACTAAAATTTTAAAATATATATATATATAATTAAACTTTTAAATTGACTCGAATTATATGTCTATTAAATAAAATATCATTAAAAATAAAAAAATGATGTTTAATTTCACGGGACGGGGTTATATAGTGGGACGGGTTTGGATCGATATTAATACTGGACGGTATTAATATCACGGATGAAATCTTAAAATTAACAATCAAAATACAATTATACAATCTTAAACACTTAACAAAATAAACAATTTTAAAAAATACAATTTAAAATTTAATTTTTATAGTTAAAAAATCGAACCGCGGTGTACCGCGGGGTAAAATCTAGTTGTATACATTTACAACAAAATTAAATTAAATAACATAAAATCAAACCCAATTGAAATTTTATTTTATGATTTAACCAATTACTTTTTATACTTATGATTTATGAATATGCAGATTGTAGTATTTATCATTTTAAATATTGTATAAGGAATCATACATAATTAAATTTAATGAAATTAAATTCTGAACTTATTTTTGAATATATGTTATACATAATCATTGATTAATATATTTTGTCCAAAACAAAATCATTGATTAATATATAAGATAAGTTATTTCTCTATTTTAAATTGTCAAAATATTGTAAGAATTATATTAATGTAGCCAATTAACTTTTCGAAGATTTTTTCCATTAAAAATACTTATATGCATAAACTTTAAAATGAAATATAATAAAATTCAACCTTATTAGAATTATCTTAACTATAAAATCAACTCTTTATTTTTCTAAAAGAAGTTTCTTTATTATAAGATAAATAATGAGGAAAGTTAACTTTCTTTTTGGGTTTTATATTTTATATTTTTTCAAAAGAATTGTTATTTATGTAAATATTACTCCATATAGCATATAAAATTTGAGAAATAATAAACAAATTAACTAGTTGTTGGTTTTTCTTTTCAATTCATATATATTTATATGGATAATGTATACATATTACAGATTTTCATATATTTTGATTTTTAATCATTAAATAATAGATAGAGTCAGATTTTAAAAATTATAGCAAAAAAAAAAAAATAATATAAATTTTTGAATGGTGAATAATTTAATTGCATATCACGATGTATAATTATTAAAAGTCATTAATTAAATCATAATAGACAAAACTTTAAACAGAACCAAAGAGTTGATTACACATGGATTTAAGGACTCCAATTTGGACAGACTACTATTTGGTTACTCTTTGGTTCTGTTTAAATTTTTGTATACTATGAATTAATTAATGACTTTTAACTTATGATTTATGATATGCAAGTAAATTATTCAACATTAAAAATTCTTGTCAAGCGATACAAGGAATGCATTTTGAACCGAACCAAAGAGTAATCTGATTACATGGATTTCACTTAAAACTAGTATTTTCTTCACATCCTTAACTATAGTTTAGCCATCATCCCTAGGTTCTATAGCTCTTTCTCAGGATATGGATATAATAGGACACTGGGTTCTCTAATCCTCTTATACTCTCTAAAGACTTCACCATTTGGGTTCTCCAGTGACTCTAAAGACTTGACGATGCTTGTCATATACTAATGGCATTATTTCTGAGATTTTGATTGGCTGGAGTTGAAATACTATATAAAATCGTTTCGGGTGATAACTTTTATATAGCATCTAACTAGTGAAGGGTTTGAGAATTATATAGACAAAATTCTTTGTGTTTAATTTGCTGTAATGTCACTTTAAGCTTTGATCGGTCTTTCTTTGTCATAGTTTTTGGATACCAGTTTTAGCTCTAGTTGTTAGCTATTTGGTACTTTCTGAAGTCGGATTGTTGTTTTCCTTTGTCAATTACCATGCAGTCGTAAACCAGTCAACAAAAGTTAAATATCCCTCCAATGAACAAAATTCCTGGTGAAACTTTTGGTCGAAAACGCTATTAATTAATAATTACCAAGGTTGGTCTTGTTATACCCTCTTGTTGAGAAACTTCTTTCATTTGCCATAAGGCTAGCTAGCTTCTCATATATTTTGTTTAGCTCGAAACTTTTATTTTGTGGATGCATCTGAACACTACAAGAAAAAAGCTAAATTCCAACAGCCATCTATGTTGTTAATTTGTAGGAATTATATGTTTCCAATAAATTTTCAATAGAACATATATTTGTTGGAATATGATCGTTGGAAATCTACATTTGTCACGAATTTATTGGAAACGTTTCCATCGAGTAATTCTATGACCAATTTGTTGGATAGTTCTGATAATTTTTTTGTTGGATATTTGTTGGAATTTACCGTGAAGTTTCTAACGAATTGTTCCAACACATATTTTGTTGGAATGTCATTGATAATTTGTCACAAATATTCAACAATTCTGAAAGTTTGTTTATGGGAAACTACTAATAACATATTTGTTGCAACTTTGTTGAAATGTTTTCTTGGAAACGTGTGAGAAATTTCAGACGCCTTATTTGTTGGAACTTCATAGAAATTTATTGATAATTTAATTGTTGAAAATTTATTGCTATTTTTCTTGTAAATTTGTGAAAAACTTCTGATGATTTAATTGTTGGAATTTTATCAGAAATTAATCGTTGAAAATATGTTGATATATTCTACTAAGTTTCCAACAAAATGTCTCATGAACCATTTATCAACTTTTTGTTGGAATATATTATTTAGGTAATTTTTAATAAAAAATATTATAAAATTAAGAAATAAATAAAAATAAAAATAAATAATAAAATTAAAAATCATAATAAGTAAACATTTTTAAAATCTCAAAACACTTAAACATCCAAACATAATATTGAAAAACAATCCTAAATGCTTAAAGTCTTAATGAAACCAAATTACTAATTGAATTCAAAGACCACCATTGGTGTTCATTGTTGTTATCATGGAAGGTGGAACTTCATTTGGAAACTTGTTCTGCATCATAGTAATCCAAAAATCAACATCTTTAAACTTCAGCAGCATTCCCTCAATCACTTGGTCCGATTTCTGGAGCTTTTCTTGAGTCTCAAGATACATTTCTTCATAATTTGGAGATGCATCAACGCTAGGATCAGCTTCCGGAATTGAACCATAGCCAAATTTCTTGCCTTTCTTCACTTGAACTTCCTGGAATTTCAAAATTGCATGTTACAATTCACATAAGAAAAAAGTATTAAAAACATAAAGTATGGTTAAAAAAAAACACATGAAGTATAATTAAAAAAATAATAGAAGTTTCAGCATTTTACCCCTTGGTAAATGGCATCA